GGAAATCCAGTCCAGATGCCACAGGAGCTTGGACTAGAATGGCAGGGGTGGAAGACAAATAGAAGCATGATGATTTTGAGACACTCAGAAAGTAATATTAACTAGACATTGTGATGAGTGGGATTGGGGTGGAGAAAGGGCCAAGGACCTGTTCAAGGCTGCTGGCTTGGTAATTTGATGGACAGTTCCTGTCCTGTACTGAATTTGGGCCACCCACGAAAGATGAGGTTTGTAGGAAAAGATTACGGATCCAGATCCATGTCAGTTTGGGGAGCCTGAGACATATGCAAGAGCATATGTGAAATGGTTCAGTGTACCCAGGATGACTGCAGGTGCCTGCTGGCTCCGGATGCTCCAGTTAATGCTAGTTGTCCTGGCATCCTATCATTTGGTGACTTGGTGCTGACACTCTCACAGGGTCCCTGTATGGATGCTAAGTTAGAAGATCCCCCTGGATATTCATATCTGGAGCTAGAAGTTTCAAGTGGAGTATTTGTGAACTGCCTGTTTATGAGTGAACATGAAGCCATGATAATCCATGACACCACAACAGCTGGGACAGTGGATACAGTGTGAAGGCAGACGGTGTAAGGGCTTGTTTCTGAGGAACCCCAGTATTTGCAGACCAACTAGAAGAGGACAGATACCAAGAAAGTAGAGAGGCAGTTGCTGAGATGTCACAGAGCAAAGGAAATCAAACTCTTCTTGGGCAATGATGTTGAGATCAAACTCAAGGACAATTGAAAAGTAGACTCTGGGTACAGCTACACATTCATCCTCAGTTATGCCACACTGCAATAAGAGGCTCTGCCTGTAGGATCTCTAAATTCCTTCCTACTCCTAGAACCCTTGACTTCTAATAAACTAAAAGTGCAGCATGAGGTAAATGCTAAATAGATGTATAAACACTAGAGCAGCATGGGGGCAGAAAGAGAGAGGGAGATGAGTACCTCATTCTACTGAGCCAATCAAGGACAATTTCACAGAGAATGTTTAACCTGACACAGAAAGTGGGAAGACTCGTCCTGTGCTTGGAAATGCTAACTAAATCCCCTTGTGTGAGGCACACTGTGTCTAAGAGATGGGAGGTGGGGCTGGAAGAGGCCTGGCCAGACCAGGAGGTACGGACCTCGGCTTCCACGCTGAGTTTGGGCTTCTTCGTGACATGATGGGTTCAGGATTTTAGGAGGCATACTCTCCAGGGGCAATCTAGAAAAATGGATTGGAGAGACGAAAGACGGGTGGCAGGAAGCCAGTCAGAAGACATTGTGCGCAATTAAGATGAGGGATGAGAGCCCTTGAGAGGAAACTGCCAGTGAGGATGGAAAGGAGGGGCGGGGACCAGAAACTCTGTGAAGTGAGAATGAGCAGGACATGATGACTGATACGCACAGGTAGTGAGGGATGAAGCTGTCTTGAAGATGGCTCTTAAGCTTCCAGCATGTGTGAACAAACGGCATAATGGGATAATGTGCAAATACAGGAGAAGGGGCAGCTTTGTTCCTCAGGCGTGAGACAGGAGTGACTGCTATGGTTTGAATATTTGTGTCCCTCCAAAGTCCATGTTGAAAGTTAACCTCCAGTGCAACAGAATGAAGAGTGGCCTTGTGACGGCAATTAGGCTGTGAAGGCTCTGCTCTCATGGATGGAATCAGTGTCACAAAAGGGCAGGAGGCAACTAGCTAGGCCCTTTTTGCCCTTCCGTCCTTTCCGCAATGTGAGGACACAGTGCTTGTCTCCTCTTCTGCAACATGAGGACCCAGAGCTTGTCTCCTCCAGAGGATGCAGTATTTGAGGCAACATCTCAGAAGCAGAGGCAAGGTGCTGGAACACAGTCTGCCAGCACCTCGATCTTGGACTTCCCAGCCTCCAAACTGAAAAATAAATTTCTACTGTCCATAAACTATCTAGTCTCAGGTGTCTTCTTATAGCAGCAAGAACAGGTTAAAAGAACGTCCAGAATATCAACTTGGAAATGATGAGGTTGAGATGGCACTGGAACAAACCCCACCCAATACATTCCTCTCTCTGCCTTGAGCTCGAGTGCAGTTTGCATTCCACATCTTCAGACTTAATCCCAGCTCGCAGTGTCAGTTCTGCTGTCTAATTAGTACACATTTCTTTGGAGCTTCTAAAATACATGTCTTCTTCTATTTTTGTACCCCTTTCTTCACAGAGCCTAAGCCAATGTTGGGCTCATAATAGGTGCTTAATAAATGATAACTCTGAACACTTTAGAGCTGAAAAACTAAAAGGACTTATTTTCACTGGAGCCAACTAACATTTCAAAGACAAATGTTTAAAATGGGCTTTTCAGCAAAACATTAAGAAATTCGCCAGGTGTGGTAGCTTGCCTGTAATCCCAGCAACTCGAGAGACTGAGGCAGCAGGACTGCCTGAGCCCATGTTTGAGGGCAGCCTGCACGACATAGCAAGACACTGGTTTGTTGTTGTTGTTGTTTGTTTCTTTAAAAAAGAAAGAAATCCATTGAACTATCTAATATGTTAGTGGATGTATGTTTGCATCTTTCTTTTTTTTTCTTTTTTTTTTGGACTGAGCCTCACTCTGTTGCCCAGGCTGGAGTGCAGTGGCACAGTCTCAGCTCACCGCAACCTCTACCTCTGGAGTTCAAGAGATTCTCATGTCTCAGCACCCTGTCCCAAGTAGCTGGGATTACAGATGTCCGCCACCACATCCAGCTAATTTTTGTATTTTCACTAGAGACAGGGTTTCACCATGTTGGCCAGGCTGGTCTCCAACTCCTGACCTCAAGTGATCTACCTGCCTCGGCCTCCCAAAATGCTGGGATTACAGACATGAGCCACCATGCTTGGCCTGCATCATATATGTTTAATATTTTTAGATTATATTTTTAATTGACAAGTGTATGTATCTATGGGGTACCATGTAATTTCACAATCCACATGTATACATTACGGAAGGATGTACCAGGCTAGTTAGCATTTCCCTCACTTCAAATATTTATCATTTCTTTGTGGTGAGAACATTTACAATCCTCTCTTTTAGCTCTTTTGAAATATACAATAGGTTATTATTATAGTCACCTTGCTGTGTAACAGGTCACTAGAGCTCATTCCCACATCTAAATGAAACTGTACCCTTTGACCAGCGTCTCCCCTTCCCCACACCCCACCCCAGCCTCTGGTAACCGCCACTCTACTCTTCCATGACTTCAACTCTTTAGACTCCACATGTAAGTGAGCACATATGGTATTGGTCTCTCTGCATGACACATTTTTAAAAGAAACAAACAAGACAGATCCAAATGCTAATCCTGTTAATGAAACAGAAATAATTTTTACTACATTCAAGATTGTCTCGTAATTTTTTCTACTCAATAAATCAATATACTGAAAATTTACATTATAAAATTTGGACACAACATTTCCATAGACATTTTTCTGGAATCTCTAAATGTTTAAAGAGAATATTCTCGTTAGGTCATTCTAACAGTAACATGGAAAAAGGTAACCATTTATTTTCTCTTTTTAAAAAAAAGAACCAGAATATACTTAGAATGCTGACCCTGTCAAGGTAGATTTTTTTCCCCCACAAAGCATCCCTGTTATCTGGCATCACTAGCGGACGTGTCTAAATAAATTGTTTATCTCTCAAAATGTCAAAATCTTTCCATCTTTTTCATATAAATTTTGGAAAATGCATCACACACATTACCCTCAAGTAGCTGTGGACCATCAGTATGAGTGTTCACTATGTTATTGCTATTGTGTCGCTGCTCTCTGGATAAGACATTACACACTGACACTTCTCCGGCCATCCACGGGCCGGACTGGAACAGCCTCTCAACTCCTCTTCCCCTTGAGCTTAGCGCTTCTAATGGGTAACTCGGCAAGCCAGGGATCAATGCTGCTAAGTATTATTCATTAATTGAAAGTAAGATTCTAGGTGACAGCCCAAATACAGCGCAGGAGCTCTGTGGCTGCATTGTGGTCATTCTTCCCTAAATGAGAGCTCCTGTTCCCAGCATTCTGATGGCTGGAAAGCATGTGCCACCATCCCGATACACACACACACACACACACACACACACACAAACACACACACACACAGAGTCATACACACTATCCATTGCTCACTGCACACCTGGCCCCACTAGGGCCTCCCTTCATCTTCACAGCCACTCCACAAGAGGGTATGTTTAACATCTCAATTTCATGGTTTCCAAAGCGACTTCATGGTACAGATGGACTTAAATTTTAGTCTCCAAGTTCAGTTCCAACACCCTCCACAAAACCATAATGGTAAGCACGACGTTCACTATGAGGTGCCAATGACAATGACTCCAACAACTGAAGACACTACTGCCATCACCATCTCCACACTGTCTGCTGTGTGGGGGCCCCAGGCCAGGCACCTGGCAACAGCAACACCACCAGCCATCGTTACAAACCCCATGTTCAGATGAAGAAATAAGGCTCAGAGATGAGGCAGCTTTGCCCTAGGTCACACAGCACATAAATGATAGACATGGGATTTGAGGACTTCTCTAATTTCAGAGCCCAACTTGGTCACCACAAAGTAATGAAAACCTGTGTGCTAGGGGAATTTTATTGATCTTTTAATTATTTTAACATAACAGTTAAGACTTATTCCAATATGTCATGTTTAACATTAGATTTTCCTTTCTTAGAGAATTTAGTGTCAGTATTCAGGCAACATTCAAATGCTAGCAAAAACATCCCAATATAATTTAGTTCTAGCTGGCCACTGGAACTCCGCTCCAAACAATAGGTGTATTAAGAGTGTCAAGAGCTGAGTATTGACTCTGGGAGGCAGAGATGGAGAGATAAGCAGACAGGGATGGGCAAGGACAAAGGATAGACCCAAGTGCTACTGCCACTTAACCCGTTCCCTCCCTGCCATAAGTAATTCTTACAGGAGGCCTGCTGGCAGCCTGGGTTTCTGCTTTAAAGGAGGAAGAAGTGTACTGCAAACTGAAAACATTTTCTCCTCCAAAATGGGTAGAAAAGGATGGCATTCAAGATTACTCACAATCTGGACCCAAGTTCTCCAACCCTTCCTGGATTTCTCCATGAGGGAGCCTCTGCTGGAGACCTACTGCTCATTCACAGTCTCCCAAATCCGTCACACAGATCTCCGCGTCTACATCACAGGTTGCAAACTGGTAGCCCAGCTGCCAAACCCAGGCTGCAGACTTGTTTTGTTTGATTTGTGTGCTTTGTATGTTGTGTGTTTTTTATTCCCCCAATGAGCTCACATTTGAAAATCCAGAGATTTCACACAATCCATCTTCTGGCATTTCTTGAGAAATCTCACAATCTGGCAACACTAGGTTTCACCCTCACATGGCAATGACTAGTCTAGAGGCGCGACGTGGCATCTCCTTTTGGAGAAAGCGTGCGCCCTTTAGTTCACAGCCCTCCCCACTCCCCGTGTCTCTCTGACTCTGAGGCTATGTCAACATTGTTTACCATCAAACTTGCTCCGTTGTTTTTCTAACAGTAAAGAAATATTTCTCTGTACCAATGTTTCTTTCAAAAGTGGAAAAAAATAAAAGACAAAGAGAACTACATATTTTAAGAAATATGGGAGGACACATATCTTGGTAGACGTGAAAATGTAATATGCAAATAAACTGGCCAAATTCACTGATCTGCACTACCTGTTCAGGAAGTCAGGCTTGCCATTGTTGATTTCTCAGCTGTCTATTGTGTTTCCCTCTCCTGGAATGCCCTTACCTCTCCCGGTCAAATCCTTGTCTCTTTCCAGAGACCTACAGTCTCCAGCCACATCTTTTGTCCTCATCTAAATGCTGGCAAGTCTGTGTTGGTACTATCTATTTAACATGAATCACAGGAGATCTTAAAACAATAGAACCATAGACTTTTAGAACCTGAGCAGTCGTAGGTGATGACCTAAGTCCAGAGGCCACAAACCTTTCCGTGGAGAAGAGCTATTCTCTAGTGAGGACACTTGACATTGATGTAGAGTGAGGGAAAATTTCATTCCTGCATCAATTATTTACTGTTGGACTCTTCAGGGCCAGGCACTGTGTCAGCAGCTGAGGCTCTACTGAGAACAGGGAAGAAGGGTCTTTGCCTTCACAGGGGGTTTTTGTGGGCAAGCGTGCAACATACATTTTGCCAAGTTATTCCACGGGGAAGGAGGCAAATGGTCAGCTTTTGTTCTTCTCAGGGCACTGGCTTCCAATGCCCCACTTTGTTGGGTGTCTCCGGCCTTGAGTGGGTTGGGGGAAAAGGATAAGCCACTTGTTCCTACTGTCTCAGTTCACTATGTTTCGAAACATTTGTGAGCCCCAGGGCCCCTCTGTTATTTGTTAGCAGTTGAGGCTGCAGGACCTTTGCAATGTCTCAGAGTTTCAAGGCACTGCTAATGTCTGCATGCTGCAGGAAGGGTGCACGCTAGAACCATTAGTTTGCGTACCCCCTTCAGTTCTCTGACATTTCAAAGATCCATGGGCTATTCACATACGATCTGACCAAAGTAGTAATTCTTCTATTACCTCTCCTGGCTTTCTTAGTAACTTTAATTACTGCCAGTTACCGCTTTATGTCACGCCTCAACTAGAAACGAAAGCTCCCTGTGAGTCTGAGATCAGGCCTTATTTCTTCTCATCTTTTCCAGGACACAGTCACTTGGACACAAGAGCATGGACGAAACACATGGGGCTGGATTTAAATGAATTGAGGGAGAAAAAATGGCTGTATCAATAAAGCACACACTATCAATGAAGACATACGTTCAGATCAGAGCAGAAATTTATTGTATTTATATTGCCTCGTAATTTTTATAGGTTCAGTGGCAGTGGTTAATATTAATTTCTAATAATTTAAATAAGATAGGGGAAAATCTTAAGTTTTGACTGGTAAAAACTGTATTACTCCCTGAAGAATTCTCAAAAGTTTCCCTGAAATCATCATTTTTCACATTTTGGCTTTACATCTGATGCCTCACCCTGCCCTCTCGTTCTCCAAAGAGCAGTCGTCAGACAACACATATTCTCTAGAACCTCAAGTAAGGAGAAAACAAAAATAACTGCATTATAAACAACATCTTTTACAACTAAATATTAAAGTTAATAGTTGTATACAATTTTCTAATCTCAGAAAATATCGTCACCTATTTCTAGAGATACCCAGTCTTACTGTACATGAAGACAGAAAAAATTATGATGCTATAAAAGAGAGATACGGCTGGGCATGGTGGCTCACATGTGTAATGCCAGTACTTTGGGAGGCTGAAGCAGGAGGATCGCCTCAGCCCAGGAGTCCAAGTCCAGCCTGGGCCACATAGACCCTGTCTGTAAAAAACATTTAAAAATTAAAATAAAAAAAAATTTTTTAAAGAAGATAGGCTGTTCTAAAAAGTTTACAAATTTAACATTTATTAAAGTTTATATGTGGCCACAGTTTATCATTTTCTTGTATAAATACTATGACTGTAACTAAATATGCTGAATTTTTCTACAGCGTTAAATCACTGTACATTTAAGTGCCTATGTGACATCAGTTATTCTCCAACTTGGAACATCAAATTAAATGTAAGGGTTTAATACGTTTCTCTCTAAAATATATTTTAATGGGGCTTTTTAAAAGTAAAAAAAAAACTATCATATTTTGTCTACATTTCTAATTATGGCATCACTTTAGAAAAACGATGGATACAACAGACACTGGGAACTACTAGAGTGGGGAGGGGGGAGGGCTGCAAACTTAACTGCTGGGTACTATGCTCACTGCCCGGGTGACGAGATCATCCGTACCCCAAACCTCAGCATCAGGCAACATACCCATGTAACTAATCTACCTGTGCACCCCTGAATCTAAAAGGAAAGTTGAAATTATTTTAAAAAAGAAAAGAAAAACAATGATTCACAGAAGTGTAGCAATCACTTGCTTCAGCGGCGCATACCTCCACAAAAATGCACTCGTTCTGGAGAAATTGTTAAATTTTCAGTGATTTTTTTCTGCATATTAGTTAAACCAAAATTGTTGTGTTTTAACACTTGCAATTCTTCCTGATAACCACTGTCATAATGACTCGAAAATTAACAGATTCATCATGGGTCTATACACAACATAGTCCTGTTCTCCTTTAACGTTCCTCTATCACCAACATTCATAGGAAGTGAGTTGCACAAAACACATGTACTTGTAATTACATTTGCAAAAAAAAAAAAAAAAAAAAAAAAAATCCTCAAACAGCTGTGGAGACAGCAAAGATTAGAATCTGATAGTGGCTTAGAATAATGAAGAAAGGGATTGTAAGGGTTCAGCTACAGAGCTGATGAAAGATGGAAGGAAAACCTGCTCTTCAAAATCCTTAATCTGTATTACTTCTCAACTCTAAATTGAAACACATCTATTCCAAGAATCTGAAATAATAAATGATGAGTAATGCTTCTCGACCAATGATTTAAGATATGTATTAAACCTTGTGTTTTACTAGCAATAAATTCAAAATTTGTATATTATTTACCTAAAATGTTTGAAGGTCTTATTTAAATTATTATTCTTCCAAAAATCTCATAAAATAATTGAAATTTGGTTACATCTAGCTCATTTCTAGGCAGTATTATTTATTTCTTAACATTACATTTTCACCAATTATGAAAGTCTAGAGTCCTTGATGAAGGCTTGACTAACCAGTCATAGTGAATTGATCATAAAATAATCTTTTAAATAGTTTCCTTATTATAAATAGTGAATAACAGAAAATAATTTTTAGTATCATATATCTTTACTACAGATATAAAATCTTTAAGAAGATGATGCAGAACAGAAATACAATTATAAAGAGCCATCTTTTGAAGTTGAACGTATGCTTCAATGAGTAAGTACACGGACACCAAAATTATTTATATTGTAGAAAAACCTACCGTATTGCCTCACTTTGCAATTTTTATAGTGAACTTTACTACTCTTTTAAAACTTTTAGAAGCTTGTAGCCTCAGAAATAAGAGTCCATTTATTAAGGAAAATTAATTCCCCACAATAAATTATGCTTTTTTATGTGGCATTACTTGTGTTTTATAAGTAAAATGACTCAGCCAACACTTGGTATTTTCTAATTTTGAATAGGACCAATTGTCTTGCATTTGATTGACACTGACTAAATGAAAACTGATATAAACACAATTATGTAATCTGACCACTTAATTTTCAATTTTCAATATATTTATTGGACCAAAAAAAAGGAGGTCTCCTTAGAATGACACATTTTTATCAAACTGTTATGCTGTGCAAACAGTTGTTCATTACAAGTTGGAAATACACTCACATAATATAATGTCCTTTCATTTTCTTTTTTAAAATCCATGACCAAAGCAAGCTATAATATGCTCACTATTACATACACGTGTATTACATACACATTCAGAGAAAATTAACTAACCCTCATATATATGATGGCTTCATTTTTACATGTCACTATTTTCTTCTCAAGTTGCTTTCAATATTAACAAGGGGAAAAGCTGACAGAGAACTTGCATCAGGCCATGGACTTTGCAGACTGTACTGAGGAGGTATCCCACTGAAATGACTGAGTACCCTGCAGTCATCAACGCACTGGTCATCTGGCATAAATGGAAAAGCATTATTCAATAAATAATCTGCTTTCATTATCTCGCCTCAAAATAGTAACCTCTGGATTTCACTGAATCCATTCATACCTCACATATATTCAGACTAAAATTCCATATAAATATTAGATTTAGGAAAGAAACCAATTAATTTTTTAAAGGAAAATGAAATGATAGCTGGTCTAGTGCTACTTGATAAAACTATTGTGTAACAGATTCTGGGATCACAGATTTATGGGAGAATGTATAACCCTTCATCAAAGGGTGGCAGCTTATCCCCCGAGCTTCCTATCCCCGACAGGCTATTCTTCTAAAAGTAATAACGAGGGCCTAAAAACTATGTAACACTCTCCCACCAAAATCAGCCATTTATACCAAAGATTCTCAATAGTAAAAGAACCAGAACCTCATCCTGAAAGCCTCTAATCTTTTAAGGAAAAAAAAAAGCATAATGTGCATTAATAATTTATATCTATTCCTAAATCAAGTGGTTATGTTCCAGACTTAAAATTAAGTGATAAAAATTACATTAGAAGGTATCATTGTTTTTAAAAAGATAAAAA